TCAAAGGAGAAAATGGGCAAGGGTGATGTATACCTAATAACACCTGATGTATATTCATTAGCATTCTCTATAATACCTTTTTGATAGGGCCCCAACCTAACTTCCTTCTCTCATCCTTTTGCATTTCTATACCTCATGTACTAGTTAAAATGATTATATATTACCATGTAGACAAACAATACTCTTGCAGGCCTTTATGCCTTTTTAACGAGCAGTTCCTCTGCCTTTCTGGAAAGTCCTTCTCCCTTTTCTATATCTGTCCAGTTCCTTAAGACCCAGCTATGGTTTATTATCTGGGACTTACTGGCTCATCCACTCCATTGGTGCTACTCATTCCTTCTCTGGGATTCCCTGATGGAGTATAATCATCTATAATTATGTGCTTGTTTGTCCACTCACTTACTCTATAACCCCAATACCTGGTAGATACAGCAAAAACTGGCCATTATCAAGTTCAAAAAATTTTATTTCGCTAGTTCAGACACACGTTATTGCAAGGTCAGGCTGAAGTCTGCCATGGAGAATGAGAACCAATTGTTATCATGTGGAGGATTAATTTACTACATGTTCTATGATTCCATTTACAGGAAATGTCCAGAATAGGCAATGCTAAAGAGACAGGAAGTAAATTAGTGCTTGCCTAGGGCTGGAGGTTTGAACAGAAATGGGGTTTGAAGAGAAATACTAATTGAATTGATACAGGGTTTCCATTTGGAGTGATGAAAATGTTCTAAAATTAATTACTGTATTGGTTGTACAACTTTGTAAATACACTAAAAAACCATTGGATTATGTACTTTAAATGAGAGAATGGTATGGTTCATACAGAATGTATGGCATAGTGAGGGTGAATAGTGGCTCTCAAAAGTATCAGGACCGAGTTCCTAGGACCTATAAACATAATGTCTCATATATGAAAAGAGTCTTTGCAGATGTGTCGGTAAGGATTTTGAGATGGAGAGATTATCCTGGATTATCTGGGTAGATCCTAAATGCAGTAACACGTATCCTTACAACAGACAGGAGGAGGAAGATTTCTCTGACAGAAGAGGAGGAGGCAGTGTGAACACAGAGATTAGTGATGCAGCCACAAGTCAAGGATGCCACCAGCCACCAGCCACCAGAAGCTGGAACTGGCAAGGTACGGGTTCTCCACCGACCTTCAGGAGGGAGGGTAGCCCTGCTGACATCTTAATTTTGGCACAGTGATACTGATTTTGGACTTCTGGCATCCAAAACTAGGAGAAAATAAAGTTTTATGGTTTTAAGCCATCACGTTTGTGATAATTTGTTACAGCAGTTACAGGAAATAATTCAACATGTAAATTATAACTCAACAGAGCTGTCACCAAATTAAAAAGAAGAAAGTGTTAATGTCTCCACAACTATGTAGATTTTTTTGTTCAGTTATTTTTATAATAATTTTTCTCTTATATATTCTATTTGGACATTCTATAAGAGAGAAACCGTCTTAAGAGAGTGCTTTCATCTTTATTAATTTTGAACTTTACAAATATAAATTTTAACATTTACGATTAAATATTAAAAATAGTCTTGGTTCCATTAAATAATAATAAATTGTGACATCTGCTCACTTTTGTTTGCTTGCTTGCTTATTTTCAATTACCTGGTATTACTTTAACAATTCTTTTACTTTCATCTCTCTTTGGCACTTTTTATTAAGTAGCAACATAAAGTTGAATAGCATTTTTCCACTTAAGGAAAAAATATCAAACATGAGATGGACCATTGATTCAGTAACAGATTTTGGGGGTTGGGAAGAGGGAGAAGAATACTATTTACTCAAATGTACACAGTGATTGCAATGCATCCTGATTTCAAAAATGCAAAAACAATTGGGGAGTATTGATTTGGGTAAAGGAAAAGGCAATATACCAAAAGTGAGTGACTAACACAAATAACACTGAGGAAAAGGAAGACACAGAGAATAAAAAAAAAAAAATTGGGGAAATATAATGGTTGGATTGTTTGGTATGATTTGATATAAGAGTCCTCATCTCTTAATAGGGAGATTTAGCTCTTTTATATTTGTTAAATTTTACAGTGTATAAATATATTGTATTTTATTCTTCCTGTTTTTTATTTTTACTTCTTTTTTGTTTCTGTGCATTGTTACATGTTTTGGATGCATCATAATTTGGAAGACAGATGCTGCATTTACTTTATCAATATCAGCTAGGTTTGCTTTTTATAAGCATGTTTTAACAGTTTAAAACCTTTATTTTATAAATGTTAGAATCAACCACGAAAATGCCTTTAAGAAGAAATCTCCCTCCTCTTCCCATTTCAGATAAAGTTTGGCACAATTTTGCTTCTTTACTCCTCCCTAATTTATTTATATTATATATTACTTCTTTTGAGAATAATTTGATATTTTACTTACTCTATAACTAGATTTACAACAATATTTGATATCTTCTTTCATCTGGTTTCATGTTTACCACCAGTTCCTTTTTTTAATTCACCAGTTCTTCTTTTTTTAAAAATAATATTTTATTATGTTTAAGGTGAAAATTTACACAGTAAATTAGGTTCCCATTTAACAATTTCTATGCAAATTATTCAAGGATATTGATAACAATTTTTCACATCTCATCAATCTCATTCATTCTATTCTGGTTGTATCATTTCCAGTACTCTAGTTTCCCTGCCCCTTAACTTCTCATCTTTACTTTGGAGCAACTTTTAACATTTAGTCTCATATAGATGATTTTTAATGAAGATCATCACTCGTGTGATAGTCTTTATTTTATGAGCTAATCTGTTATTTAGCTAAAAGATAACCTTAAGGGATAATATTGGTTTAAGATGTAAAGACATCTCAGGGCAATAGTCTCAGGGAGTCCTCTTATCTTAACCAGTCTGAAAAGTCTGGGCTTTTTAAGAATTTGAGTTCTGTTCCACATTTTTCTCTCATTCTATCAGGATCCATCTGTTGTGGCCCTGAGCAGGACAGTTGGTAGTAATAGCAGGGCACCATCTAGTTCTTCTGGTCACAAGGTAGATGAAACTGTGGTTCGTGTAGACTATGAGTCCTATATACTACTTTCTTCTCTGAGTCTTTGGTTTCCTTCTTTCTCTTTTGTTGTGGACAAGTAGAGACTAACACTTAGATGGTGACTCACAAGCTTTTAAAACCTCAGACACAGCTCACCATACTGGAACACAGAACGTACACTTTATGAACTATATTGTCAATTAACTATGTTGTCCAACAAGACTATGATCCTCAGCCTTCAAATCCAGAAAACCAATCTCATCAGGTGTTTGGTTATGTTTAAGAAGTATCCATAACTGTGTCCTCTATTGGATATACATGCATGCATATACATACCTGTTTGTATATTTTCCCACAGATATATCTATCTGTGTACACATGTATGCACATATTCATACCCATACACAGACATCTGTATACATATTTATGTAATCACAACAAATCAATAGGTAAGATAAGCACAAGACATGAACAGATAATTCAGAAGAATAAATTTTAAAATTACATTAAATTGTTTAACCTTCCTTACTAGTCATCAAAAAGATACTTATTTGTTTTAAAAAAATCGTCAACAAATTGCAGAGGTTTCTTATATTCAATAATGCCCATTGTTGGTGAGAATATACTTTGAGAGCTCTCCTACATTGCTGGAGGGAAAATAAATCCGTACAATCTAGAGCATAATTTGACAAAGTTGTTGTTGTTATGTGCCGACGAGTCAGACCCGACTCATAGTGACCCCTCCTTGGGTTCCAAGGCGGTATCACTACGGAAGTAGGATTGCCCAACCTTCCTTCCTGAGGAGTGGCTGGTGGGTTTGAACTGCCAGCCTTCTGGTTAGCAGTCAAGTGCCTTAGGCACTATGCTACCAGAGCTCCTGACAATAGACATCAAAATCCTTCCAATATTCATATTCTTTGACCTAGTAATTCAATTTCTATAAATCTAGTCTAAGGAAATTATTAGCTGCAAAAAAATTGTATGTTGGTCTTCATCTTATCATATTTATAGTGAAGAATGAGAAAGAATATGTCCAACAATAAAGTAATTATTAAATAAATTATAATATAACCATTTAATGGAATATTATATAGTCATTAAAAATCATGTTTTAAGGACCAAGATGAAGTAGATTAACATCTCCCTATTCTTCCTACTGAAGTACAGCTAAGAACCCTGGATATTAGCTACAAAATAAACTTAAGAAGACTATAGAAGTTATCTTGACCATGGGAATCATCAGAGTAAAACAAGGAGAAATAGAGGAAAGTACTGTTCAAAATAATATAAAAATATAAAAGTTTGCTATGGAACACTTAGGATTCTGGTACCATTAAATTACTAATTTCACGATAATAGAATAATACTTTCTCAGTGCAGTGTAATGTTGACTTTGGAACCAAATTATCTGACTACAAATCTCCCCAGCTCCACTGGTTGTGAGACCTTGTGCAGGTTACTTAACCTCAGTGTCCTCGTCTGTAGAAGTAGGGCTGTAATAGTATCTGCCTTACAGGGTTGCTGAAAAGATTGCCTTAATTAATATATGAATATCTTAGGACAATCCCTAACCCATAGAAAATGCTTTGTAAGTTTTAGCTCTCGTTATTATTTTTATAACTGTATTTCATTGAGTTTAAAACCCAAAAACCAAACCCACTGCTATCAATTCTAACTCAAAGCAGCCCTATAAAACGGTAGAATTTCCCCAGGGGGTTTCCAAGGTTATAAATCTCTACAGAAGCACACTGTCACATCTTTCTCCTAAGGAGGGGCTGGTAGGTTCAAACAGCTGACCTTTCTGTTAGTAGCCGAGTGTTTTAATCACTGTGCCACCAGGGGTCCTTTTCATTGACTCGGAGAGGCTAGCTTTTCTTGATTTTACCAGGTGACAGTGGGAGTTTTTCATATCTTCACACCAAAAGACAATTGAAACTGGTAAAATAATATGATTCAAATATTGAATAATGTAACTTCTTACTTGAGTAAATTCCTTTTTGTTCAATTTTGGTTCCATTGAGTCAGTAATCTTCAGTTCTTTGCAATGTGATTCTAATGATGGAATAAAGATTATTCGAAAGTTAATATAGTTATAATACATTCATATTTTATACTTATAATGGCTTTAAAAAAAGAAAATTATTTCTTAGTTCATCAGTGCTTACCATAAAGTAATTGATATACAGTTGGGTGACATTCTAAGTACTACAAAATTATTGTTTTTACTGATGTTTATTTTACCAAACAATTCCTACACTAAAAAGACTGAGCTTACATTTTAATGACCAGGTTAGGATAAAGCAGAAATACTTATGTATATTAATAATGTAAAAGACAGCCGTATGCTTCTCTGATGCTTGGCCTCAGGGTCAACTCTGCTTACTCTCCTCTTTGGACGAAGACCTGGGGCCCTTTTTGGGTGGCCAAAGGACTAAGTAAAATATTCTTTTGTTTGACTTAATAAATAAATAAATAATGTAGAAGACAACAATTGTTTCTGTTGGTTTGCCTATCTATGCTAGCAGGTTCTAAAACACAATACCTCTATAAACTTCCTTTCTAAAAATTTTCTTTTGTCTTTAATGCTTCTTAAATTAAAAAGTAATAGATTAATGTGCCCTCTTAGTAAAAGATTCAAACAATTCAGAAATGTAAACAGGAAAGTCAATCTTTCATGGATCCACTGGGATTGGAGGAACCCTTGAATCTACTGCCCTGAGATGATAATATTTAAGCTTTGAACCAAATGAAACTATCCCATGAAGGCATTTTTAAACTAAACATCAGATTAACTCAACGAGTAAAGAATGTTTCTCTAGAGGAGTGTGCTCTTTTAAATGATTGTCTTTATAAGATCAAATTGACAACTGGGGAAAAAAAATTCACTGCCGTCGAGCCGAATTCAACTCATAGCGACACTCCTTAGGTTTTGGAGGCAGTATCACTAGATAGATCTCCCTATCATCCTCCCAAGGAGTGGCTGGTGGTTTTGAATTGCCAGCCTTCTGCTTAGCAGTCAAATGCCTTAAGCACTACACTACCAGAGACAACATTAACTCTAAAACACAGAGCAGAAGTTTAGAGGACACACAGTCTAATTTAATGGTGGTGAAACAATATAGGGAGAGACAACGAGAATGGTCACATAGTATGAAGAATGCAGCCAATGTCACTGAACTGTATGTGCAGAAAATGTTGAATGGCTATATGCTTGTAATCTATATTTTCACACCCACACCCACACCCACACACAATCGACCTTTCCTTTACCCTCTGCCAGCACATACTCCCCTTTGCCCCAGAAGTAATAACCACTGTCAACAGTTGTCATCCTTCCGGTAACTTTTCTCTATGCATTTACGTTGTATATGTGTACATACACACTTTGATCTTTTTATGCATAAATATGATCATATTGATCTACAACTTGCTTTTTATCACTTCACCACTCATAGATCTCTTCAAATAGGTTCTGGAGCTCAGTGGGGAGAAGTTTAGAGTATAGACAGTCTTAATTTAATGGTGGTGAAACAATATAGGTAGAAGTTTGGAATAGGAATATGAGTTGGGAATCATAAGCATTTATATACTAGCTGAAGTGACAGGTTTGTATGAGAAAGTCCAAAGAGTGTGTATAATGTGTAGAATGAGAAGAAAGCCAAAAAGGAAACCCTAGAAAACAGTACTTAAGGTGCAAGTAAAAGAAGAACCAAGATCAAAAATAGAAGAAATAAAAGCAGGGGAAAGTGACAACACAGAAGCCAAGAAAAAAGAATTTCAAGAATAATGGAGTGATCAATAATGGTGAATGTGGCAGTTATTCCAATTAACAATTTTTAAATGTCCATTTAATATGACAATTATGTGATCTTTATTGACCTTACTAAGAGACAGCACACATATTATATGGAAGCTCATGATGAAAAAGCTAATGCTTGGGCTTTCCTCTCCTACTTCTCCTAGCAGTAGCCCCTCTGTCTATTGTGGACTAGCACAAGGGCACAGTCACTCTTGAAAGTGCCTAAGGCACTTGACTGCTAACCAGAAGGCTGGCGGTTCAAACCCACCAGCCACTCTTCCGAAGGAAGATGGGGCAATCTACTTCCATAGTGATACTGCCTTGGAAACCCAAGGAGGGGTCACTATGAGTCAGGTCCGACTTGACGGCACATAACAACAACAACAATTATGAGATGTCAGTTACTGTTGTCCTAAGATAACTGTAAAAATTTTCATATAAGCTTATGCATTGGATTCTGATATCCCAACCCAGATCTAGCCCCTGATGTTGTTGTTGTTAGGTGCCATCGAGTAAGCTCTGACTCATAGTGACCCTACATACAAAAGAATGGAACACAGCCCAGTCATGGGCCATCCTCAGAATCCTTGCTATACCTGAGCCCATCTTTGCAGCCACTGTGTCAATCTATCTTGTTGAGGGTCTTCCCCTTTTTTGCTGACCCTCTTCTTTACCAAGCATGATATCCTTCTCCAGAAAATGGTCCAGTCTGACAACATGATCAAAGCACGTGAGACAAAGTCTGGCCATTCTCACTTCCAAGGAGCACCCTGGATGTACTTCTTGCAGGACAGATTTGTTGGTTTTATGGTAGTCCACGGATTTTCAGTATTCAAAGGCATCAACTCTTCTTCAGTCTTCCTTATTCGTTGTCCAGCTTTCACATGCATATGAGGTGATTGAATATACCATGACTTGAGTCAGGCACACCTTAGTCTTCAAAGTGACATCTTTGCTCCTTAACACTTTAAATAGGTCTTTTGCAGCAGATTTTTCCAGTACAATATGATGTCTTATTTCTTGACTGCTGTTTCCATGGGTTTTGATTGTGGATCCAAGTAAAACGAAATCCCTGACAACTTCAATCTTTTCTCCACTTATTGTCATGTTACTTAACAGTCCAGTTGTGAGGATTTTAATTTTATTTATGTTGAGGTGTAATCTGTACTGAAGGCTGTAGCCTTTGATCTTCATCAGGAAGTGCTTCGAGTCATCTTCATTTCTCAGCAAGCAAGGTTGTGTCATCTGCATATCACAGGTTGTTAATGAGTCTTCCTCCAATCCTGATGCCACATTCTTCTTCATATAGTTCAGCTTCTTGGATTATTTGCTCAGCATACAGATTGAATAAGTATGGTGAAAGAGTAGAACCATGATGCACACCCTTCCTAATTTTAAACCATTTGGAGCCCCTTGTTCTGTTCAAATGACAGCCTCTTGGTCTATGTACAGGTGCCACATGAGTACAATTTAAGTGTTCTGGAATTCCCATTCTTCTCATTGTTATCCATAATTTATGATCCACACAGTCAAATGCCTTTGCACAGGTAATAAAACACAGATAAACATCTTTTGGATATTCTTTGCTTTCAGCCAAGATCTATCTGACATCAGCAACAATATTCCTTCTTCCATGTCCCCCTTCTGAATCCAGCTTGACTTTCTGGAAGTTCTTTGTCAATATACTGCTGCAACAGTTTTTGCATTATCTTCAGCAAAGTTTTACTTGTGTGTGATATTAATGATACTGTTCTATAATTTTCACATTCTGTTGGATCACATTTCTTTGGAATGGGTACAAATTTTGATCAGTCAGTTGGCCAGGTAGCTGTCTTCCCAATTTGGCATAAACAAGTAAGTACCTCCAGTGTTGCATCCATTTGTTGAAACATCTCAATGGGTATTCCATCAATTCCTGGAGTCTTGTTTTTTGCAATTCCTTCAGTGCAGCTTCAACTTCTTCCTTCAATACTATTGGTTCTGGATCACATGCTACCTCCTGAAATAGTTGAGCATTGAGCAATTCTTTTTGGTGCAATGACTCTGTGTATTCCCTTCATCTTCTTTTGATGCTTCCTGCATCATTCAATATTTTGCCCATAGAATCTTTCAATATTGCAACTTGTGGCTTGACTTTTTTCTTCAGTTCTTTCAGCTTGATAATGCTGAGTGTGTTCTTCCCTTTTTTGTTTTCTAACTCCAGGTCTTTCCACATTTCATTATAATACTTTACTTTGTCTTCTCGAGTTGCCCTTTGAAATCTTCTATTCTGCTTTCTTATCTTGTCATTTCTTCCATTCACTTTAGCTACTCTCCATTCAAGAGCAAATTTCACAGTCTCTTCTGACATCCATTTTGGTCTTTTCTTCCTTTCCTGTCTCTTTAATGACTGTTTGCTTTCTTTGTGTATGATTTTCTTTATGCCATCCCACAACTTGTCCTGTTTTCAGTCATTGTTGTTCAATGCCTCAAATCTATTCTTCAGATGGTCTCTAAATTCAGGTGGGATATAATCAAGGTCATATTTTGGCTTTTGTGGACTTGTTTTAATTTTCTTCAGCTTCAACATGAACTTGCATATAAGCAATTGATAGTCTGTTCCACAGTCAGCTCCTAGCCTTGTTTAGCTGAAGATATTGACCTTCTTCATCATCTCTTTCCACAGATGTAGTTGATTTGATTCCTGTGTATTCCATCTAGTGAGGTCCATGTGTATAGCCACCACACCACTTACATTGTTGAAAAAAGGTATTTACAGTGAATACGTTGTTGGTCTTGCAAAATTCTGTCATGCTATCTCCAGCATCATTTCTATCATCAAAGCCATATTTTCCAACTACTGATGATTCTTCTTGGTTTCCAACTTTCACATTCTAATCACAAGTAATCATCAATACATCCTGATGGCATGTTTGATCAATTTCAGACTGCAGAAGTTGGTAAAAATCTTCAATTTCTTCATCTTTGGCTTAAGTGGTTAGTGTGTAAATTTGAATGATAGTAGTAGTAACTGGTGTTTCTTATAGGAGTATGGATATTATCCTATCACTGACAGCATTGTACTTCAGGATAGATCACATATTCTTTTTGACAATGAATACAATGCCAAAGCAAAAAATAACCCCAAACCTACTGCCATCAAGTTGATTCTGACCCATTGGGTTTCCAAGGCTGTCAATCTTTACAGAAACAGATTGCCTCATCTTCCTCCCATAGAGCAGCTGATGGGTTTGAACCACTGACGTTTTGGTTAGAAGGCAGTTGCCTTACCCACTGCACCACTAAAATTCCTTTGAATGCAACACCATTCCTCCTCAATTTATCATTCCTGGCGTAGTAGACCATATGACTCTGCTTCAAAATGGCCAATACCAGTCCATATCAGCTCACTAATGCCTAGGATATCCATCTTCATGTGTTCCGTTTATTTTTGACAACTTCCAGTTTTCCTAGATTCATACTTCATACATTCCACAGTCTGATTATTCATGGATGTTTGCAGCTGTTTCTTCCCATTTTGAGTTGTGTCTCAGCAGCAATTGGAGGTCCTGAAAGCTTTACTCTATCCATGTCATTAAGGTCAACTCTACCTTGAGGTAGAGTTGTATTTTGAGTGCCTTACAACCCAAGGGGCTCATCTTCCAGCACTATATCAGACAATGTTTCAGTGCTATTCATAAAGTTTTCCTGTAATATATCAGACACTGTTTCACTGTTATTCATACAGTTTTTCATTGGCCAATTTTTTCAGAAATGGATAGCCCCTTCCTTCTTCCCAGTCTGTCTTAATCTGGAAGCTCCACTGAAACCTGTCCATGATGGGTGACCCTGCAGGTATATGAAATACTGGTGGCATAGCCTCCAGCCTCACAACAACATGCAAGCCACCACAATACAACAAATGACAGACAAGTGGTGGACTACACTATACAAGCTTTAAATAACATTTCCCTCGGTATTGAGTCTTCATTTAAATTCAGCCTCTTCTCTGTCTGAAAAAAGAAAAAGAAAAAGAAAAAGAAACAAAGAAAGAAAAGGAAAAAGAAAAACAGTACAGTAATAGGCTTACCAAGCTGGAAATCTGGATTTTGAAAAAAGTCTTGAAGAGCATTCTGAATCTGTAAATTAGAGAAAAGAGACTATATATTATTCCTCAATTACCACATTCATGTCTACCTATTTTAGATTAAAAGTAATCTATGGTTTTTCTATTTAAATCCTAGGTGATCCTTTTAATCCAGGGCAGAAATAGTAACAACTCATATTTAATTTATAGAATACTTCAAGATGTATAAGTAAATCCCCAAACTTGAAGTGTTTGGCATAACTAAACTGGCTGAAACAGGTCCAGATTAGATTCCATTTTACTTTAGACACTGTTTTATTTCCCTTAGCTTTATTTTTACTTTTTACCTGCAGTTGGACTCCTGTAAAAGTTCACCTGGCCTTAGCAAATCAGGGTGGGGGTCAGGAATGTGGTTGGGCTGTTCCAGGACATCTACTACCCCCTCCTTTCCTTGCAAAACCTGTTCTCAGAAAGAATGGTTATGTCCAGCCCCCTGTAAAACTAACTTTGTGAAAATGCTTATGCATGCTGGCCCCAAGATGTCTGAAGATTAGAAAAACAGTTATTTTGAAATACTTATCGTCTTTCAACTAAAATGCTGGGGCCTATGATAACCTCATGACTGATTACACAAAGCTCTGTAAATATTAGCGTATCAGAATATTGCCTGTTACTTCCCAATATTTCTGTATTTAAAATATTCTCTGACTTCAGCTCACTGGAATATGGTGATTTCCCCTGTATGCTGTCCAGTTCAAACTATTCTATTGTTCAAAAAACCTTGCTATTTATGCTTTTATAGAGTGTTAAATCTTTTATTTGACAACATTTCTGGTGTCAGAAGTGAGATTTTGAATCCAAGTTCCACTTTCTTCATGTCGTAGCTCTTTGAATTTTATCAAAGATCTGTTTCTGTCCCCAATTCTCCTTTAGCAAAATGCCAGTTTGAATTTGTGGTTAACCAGATTTTGTAGGGTTGTTGCTAAGGTTCTTCAAAATCTCTTAAGTCACAAGAAATGTAGGCACAGATCTGAGTAAATAAAAGCCTTTAGGGCACTTGCCATCAACTGAAAAACACTTATGAGATGGACCAGATGCACTAGGCTGCCCACTAGTTACAAGAAAACTCTCACACAACAAAGGCACACTGTAAAACAGAACACAGACCAAACCCTGCAGCAAATCCCTCATGAGAATTTTTGTCTGACTCCGGGGAAACCAAACATTCAGCGTATATGTTTTAGGTTGTGCACATACCATTTTATTTCTATTTTGTATGTGCATTTTGATCTCTCTTTCTGGTAAATGAGGAATGCAATGTCTAAGGGCAATTTGGAGTCACCCTCTGGGACTCTCGCCCACTACATGAACAAGCACTTTGGTCCTATGCTGGGCATTTTAAAAATCAGTTTTCCCTATCACTAACTTTATATGGAAAGGAAGGAGACCTCGGATAAGCAAAGCACTACTGAAGAAGAAAAACAAAGTAGGAGGTCTCACATTGCCGGATCTCAAAACCTACTATACA